CTACAATTCTGTTCCCAGGTATGGCGCGCATGAGGCTTCAAAGCTGTGGTTTTCAAGCTAAGTTCAAGGTGGCCTGAGACCAGGGTTTGCTGCCCTAAAACACTCTGTTCAGGCCACCTTGAAAATGAAGGTCTGCGAAGCGAGAGCAAAGGAGTTTCCACCTCCTCGCTTCCCAGTCTTCCCAGGGTTCATATAGGGAGCCAGGCCATTTTCAGAATCTTCTGGATGTGAGCTGTTCGAGTTCCTATTGAAGGGTATATGTCACATTCAAGCAGCAGAAGGACAACATGCATCCTCTGCTCTCGCTTCGCAGACCGTCATTTTGAAGGTGGCCTGAACAGAGTGTTTTAGGGCAGCAAACCCTGGTCTCAGGCCACCGTGAATTTAGCTTGAAAAACTGTTTGTTTGAACAAAAGGGTGCATTGTTTTTGTTTTGACATGGTTACCTATGTGTGGGCAGAACAAGACATGAAGCAGATTTGACACGCGGCCGCAAGCGGCTGCGCGAGCTCATTTGATTGCTTCGACGCGCAGTTGTCGAGAAAGGGAAGCACTGGCTTTCGTTTTGCAGCTTCTCAGGTTTTGCAAAGGACTTTAGACAACACCAGTTCAACTTGTTGTTGTTAAACAATATTTTGGCTAGGGTCAGTACGGGCTCTAAAGGCACCACCACCAGTCGAATTGCAAACAAAAAACGCAGCTTTCAAGCTGCTGAAACCAGAGGAATCAATACCCATGACCATAGTACAAAAACATTCCGGCGGCTTCCACCCTCAGACTTGGTGTAAGGGAGCATCTCCAGGACCCCCATTGGTTTGGAGCATGAACAAAACATGGTTTCCTGTAGGTGTTTCCCTTCAAACGTGTCAGAAAATGCTTGGAGACACTGTTATGTAGGTTGGGAGGGTCCAAGTACCTTCTGAGAAGGTACGACTGGATCCCTGGAAAGCTGACATCCACTTTCAAGTCTTTCTGCAATCCGCCACTCGGTGGGGCAGAGCCAATGGAGTCCTGGGATTCCCAATATGTTGTGAAAGTCTTTGGTGTGTGTGTGGCCAATGCCAGCTGTTCTTCAAGCAGAAATGGATTCGGATCTCCTTCCAAACCACGTGTTTCGCAGCTTCCAAACCAGACACTCTATATGTGTGGAATATTTGCGTACATTGCTGATTTAGCTAGATGTTTCAGAATTTTACCTGGGCGGTGTCTCTTCCAGTCCCCGGAAGTGCTTTTAGTGTGAGACAAATCCGCCGAAGTTCCACGTCCAGTTCCTGTCCACCATTTTTCCGCAGGCGTGACGGCCCGGGGGAAGAAGTTCCACTACAAGGGTAGCATTCTGCCGGCCGCCCAGTGGGTTCTACCGGTCGTTGTGAGTGGTAAACCGGGTCATGGCCCCCTGTTCACACCGGGAACTCACACTGAGACTGGTATAGGTAGGTTGAGCTCCTTTTCTAGGTCGTCTATTCGGTTCATTTCGCTGGGAAAAAAACCTACAATGAATGAGAATGACTGCGAACGGCATTTGCGGCCGTCGCAGATCCCAAAGCAGGGTTAGTTTGGACGTGCTTGATGCACAAGCACATCATGCGATCAAACATGGTCATGTTACGTATGAGTGTTGATCCAAGCTGATTACTGTGTCCCTGTCAGCCTTGCTGTTTATACTGATGCTTTAAAGACCAGAGTGTTGTCGCAGTTTGATGTTCAATGAAGAACGTTCATGACTGATTAAACGTTGTAAACCAGCAGATGCAAAATAACATGTCTATGTTCACATATGTTGTGTGATAGTTTTTGTGTGTACACGATCAATATTTGTTACAGGAAATCCAACTTGCTGGGTAGAGCTTTATTTTTTTTGCAACAGACACTTAGTGCAAACGAAATGTGCAATCAGGAGGAATTATTGTATTTGTATGTATGTGTTATTGATTTGGCAGTTTTTTCTTCCATTTTGCTCAGTGAGTTTTGATGGTCATGCTTAGGATAGCGCCAAATCAAGAAAGTAACACGTCCAACATGTGACACCGCATTTGTCAGTCAGCGATCCACACGAGAAGTTTGTTTGTCAGAAAGGCCTACCTTCCAAGACCAATGTCATAATTGTTGAGCTGGTTGCGTAGTGTAAAGTCCTTTGTGAACAATGGCATTTGCTCGGTAAAGACAGTTAATTAAAGCATCTTCAAGCAAATTGTTGGCCATGAAGCCTACAGGGCAAGCTTTTCGCCAATTTTTCACCTGCCATATACACCAGCACAATTCAAAGGGTGGTTATGCATAGTCAGGGGAGCCCCAATCGATGGGAAACGTTGCACCTGTCTTATCCAATTTGGAGGAGATAGGAGCAAAAGTTGATTGACTCGAAGCTAATTAGCTGCGGAAAACAGTGAGGGGGGAAGGTGTCTGCAGCACTTGATCAAAGATTCTTTTCTGCACGGAAGCAATTGCTATTCACAGGCTTTTGAATCAGTATGTTTATGTAGCAGGGCACTCCGTTTGCATGCATCACGATGCAAAGCAGCTCCTCCAGCATTGAAAATACAATCGCATCCTTCTCGTCTACACTGGAATCAGTGCTCCTGATCCGCTGCAAACGCGAGAAGAAATCCACGAATTCAAAAAGAAGACATCTGCTAGCAACCACCCGGGTCCATGTTGGTGTGTTGGTGATCAGAGCCGAACGTTTGGCCAAAGGTTTGGCATTGAACGACATCACACCGACATCGCCCAGTTAGTCGGTTTTAGAGTGCAGAAACCATGCATGTTCCCTGGCGTGTCCAGTTATTTTTGTTTTTAAAAGGTTCTGACGGATGTTGACCCCAGTTCAGGAACTTAATCTCTGCAGGTCAGATTTTTCGTTTTGGAGCTGATGGCAAAAACCATACTCAATGAGGGTTTAACTGGGTCAGACTGGGCCTTTAGGGAATGAACTGTGATCAGCATAGGGAATGAACTGTGATTTTGGCTGTGCTCGAAGCACTTCCTTCCGGAGCAAGGCATCGCATGATCCCCGGTCTCATGATCCAGGCACACCGGATACAGTGGAGGGATCCATGATCCATAAACCTGAATCCAACTGCTGGGTACCTCAAAGTGGACCCCATCGGTCTGACGGGGGGGGGCCGACGGGTCAACGGATAGCGGGGGTCCAGACCTGACCCCTCCAGAGGTTGGCGGGTCCGGCGTTTATAGTTGGAATGGTCCAGGGTCGCCTCTATAGGATGTCCCACTGTTCGTTGATGAAGTTGGGTCGGGTCCATGCTAAATGTGCCAGCTGCACTTGGCTCCAGATTTATGAAAAGACAGGGTTTGGCCTCCCAGACTGGTACCACATTTTATGATAGAAACGCGCCAAACAGGCCGACCGGCCCCTGACTACATTGAGCAAGGATTTGAGACCACACTGGACCCCTCCCCCACTTGGGAGGGTCCATGAGCGTTTAGGAGATGATACTAGTAGTATTAGCATTTATTATCCCAGTTTGACATCTCTTGGATTTCCTTCTCTATCTCCTTAACCCTTTCAGGGGAACATGGCTCAACATTTCAGGGTCCCGCATTTGGATATGCAAAGTCTACATAAAGATTCCCCTCATGGACTCATGGGTAGCCAATAGAATTTCCAGGCCCAATTCTCGTGTTTCTTTCTTGGGTTGTGTGGGTTATTGAAGACCATACGCCATGAGTGCCATGAGTCATCTACAAACCAGCATAGTTTGATAGGCCATTCATGTGTGACCCAGACGCTCCGTGAACGCCCCGACCGGTCACTGAAAACCCCCCCCAGAGATGCCCGGGTCCGACCCCCCGACCCAGAGATGAGGGTCCATGAGCATTTTGGGGAAATCAATTCACAAGTCTATATTATGTCTAAATCTATCTAAATCTTCAAAGACATCAGTCCTTTACATAGCGAATTGTGTTTACCTGTCACCCGTGGCATGTGTTTTCGCTTCGATCCAGAACCCCTAAGATAGACGTCAATTCCGGTGAAGAACTAGCCTTCCAAGACCATGAAAGAAATGGGAAAGACCTGGTTTTGTAGTGTGTACAAATTCTTTGGGATGACCCGGCAGTTTTAAGTCAATGGTGGGCGACCGGAATCCTAGGGTTGCGGGAGTGTAACTCATGTCAGATCATTGTTACGTGCGTTGTAGATACTTTCAGGATCATGAGTAATTTCCCGTGAAGAAGGCGCCGAACTGGTCGGAAGTCATAGATGCCAGTCACCCAGCCTTCGCTCGCGTTTGGACCCTGCGTGAGTTCAGATACGGGTTGAACCCTGATTGGAATAGTTACCATCCACGGACCGTTGGATGGGCCATTTTTTGGGATGTTCCTTGTGTTCATGTATATACCAGCACCCTTCAACAGGTCACCGATTGAAACCTTATAGGGCCTAAGAACCCTCCAAAGGAGACCTGTAGAGTCGGGTGCTGGTAAAAGCATTCCAGTCCCATGGATGGTCTGGGCTCGGCCCAACAGAGGGTGGAGAGTCCGGATCAGAAGCCTCGCTCGTCAAAGACACGATCACCCACTCGGAAAAATGTGTGAGTGAAAACGGGCCTTTCCCTCCCGGTCTCTCAAACTACCTTGGAAAATGGGCACGAGTGTACAAGTACTTGTTTTTATTAGGGTCAGAATGTACCACTTTCTGAAGCACTTTGGAGGTACAAACCCCCTTGGATGGCCTGGGGATGGAAGTTGTGAGAGGTTTTTTTGCTCTGGAGCGGCCAGGGCGGCGACTTTGAGAATGCCAACGGGACCGACCTTCCGAAGCTTTCGGGAGGGAAACAACAACGACCCCGCGGTGGTCGGCAGGGAGAAAACCCACGTGGGTGCGTAGACCAGACCGACCTGGGTGTCCAATGCCCTGACCAGTGAATCCCCCTTCATTCAGGGACCATTTGTTCAATTGTTCCCGGCTTCCTGGACGGCAAATCCAAGAATAGGTCAGAAACCCTGCGACTTTCAAGTCTCCCAAAAGCACCTGATCAAGGAGGAGACAGGGGAGACCTGTAGTATCCTCAGTAGTCGGATGATAAAGATCGAATCCATAACGTGTCAGGGGCTTCCCAAACCCAGAGGCTGGTCTTTCGTGGGTTTAGGGTGTCACATCAAAGCTCGACTTCTGCCACACCCGTGCCACACCCCAAAAGATGAAGGTGCCTGGGATCTCAAAGTAATGCGGAAAATGGGTACACGGCAAAGGATCAGGAGTCAAGTCATGTCACATGTCCCATAGTTCGAATGGCACGAAGGAAGTCGGGTCTAGGTGGTTGGGGTGGTTGGTTGGTTAGGGGGGTTGTCCCCAATCTTTCGGATGTGGGAGCCCGTGGGAGCCCGGAGCCCCGGACTCTCAGACTCCGTGGCAACGTTTAGTGGAAAACATTTGCCTCTTGGACCGTCCAGGAGGTCAATCGGCATCTTCTCAGTGGACACTGGATTCCTTTTCCCTAGACTTCCAAGACCATGAAAAAATTGTTGACCTGCTTTTGTAGTGTACAGTGTAAAGTCCTTATAGTTGTTTCGTTAAAGCCCATTAAATGTAGGTGCTTCGAAGCCTAAGGCCTATAGCTTTACACAAACAGACATACTCATGGGGCCAACGTCGATGGGCGCCTTTGGTCTCCCCCGATCTCCCTGGTGCCCACCCTTCCTCCACCCTTCCTCCCGGTGCCGTCATGTTCCAGGACGGGAGGCGAGTCGATCTACGGCCGTCGCTTCCCGGACGAGAACTTCCGCGAGTCGGTCGCCCGGCGAGGCGCCCGCGGCGCGGGGCGCCTTCTAGGCGATGCAGTGAAGGTTAGGAACTGCACGGTCTGCGCCCAGAAAGAGTTTGCTCGAGTTGAAGAATCAGGTTGAACAAAGACTCATGGAGCGGGACTCGAGTGACATAGTCGCTCACATGCAAGCCCTTTTGCTGAACGGGAGGTTTGTGAACAGGTCAGAGATTGACAAGAAGCTTGTGGAAGGCTTGATCGATTCCCTAACAACTTTGAACCTGGAAGAAGGAAAACCGACCTCTGAAAGTGCTGGTGAATTGCTTTACTTCGAGTGATCCCCACAATGCTTTCAATCATTTGTCTTCATGCCATGGTGAGGAGCATGTTGCCATGGTCATGAGTTTTGTGGTTCTTGCTTTTGCTTGTGGGTCCTCGGGTTGTGTGCTGTGGTTGTGTGTTGTGGTTGTGTGGTGTGGGTGTGTGCTGTGGCTGTGTGTTGTGGCTGTGTGCTTGTGTCTGTACGTTTGTGAGTGTGTTTGTGGTTGTGTGCTTGTGGCTGTACGTTTGTGATTGTGTTTGTGGTTGTGTGCTTGTGGCTGTACGTTTGTGAATGTGTTTGTGGTTGTGTGCTTGTGGCTGTACGTTTGTGACTGTGTGTTTGTGGTTGTGGTTGTGGTTGTGTTTGTGGTTGTGTGATCCCCACCCCCTATCTCTACAAAACCGGGGGGGGACCTGTCTAAATGTAAGCTACATTTTTCAATGTTTTTTGGGGGGGGAGGGAGGGGTCTAAAAAATGTAGCTTACATTTAGACAGGTCCCCCCCATTTCTTGGTTTTGAGAACCCTTTGCAGGAAACGTCTGAAACACGCTTTGCGGGGGGGGGGGTTCGTACGACTGTCGTCCACCCGACGAGGGGGCGGGGGGTGAAAGAGTGACTAGGGCGTACATTTTAGTTTTTTTCGTTACGCGGGTGTCGTTTACTGCTTTTTTAGGTCTCTGTGCAAAAGAAGCCGCTTTCCTTTTGAATTTAGAATTTTCTGAAGGATTGACAGCTCTGGCTATTTAAGGGCTATTGAGCGCCGGTACTGGTATCTTCGCCGGTGAACGATACAGTCTCCAGCCGAGATACATAAGAAGTTCAGGATGATGCAACCTTTGAGGAGAAGGAAAAGGCGGTGGAGAAGATAAGAGAGGTCAGAGAGGATGATGGAGAGAAGAAATTGGAGGCTGAAATTCAAGAATCTTTTCCATCTGAAGTAGTTGTTGATCCAGATACAGTGGATGCTGACAATACCTATGAGTTGCATACTTCACCTTTGAAGTTGCTTGGAGAGCTTACAGGAGATCCAGGTATTGGCTTTTATCAACAATGCTTCAGGGAAACTCACGCAAGATTGTTGAACCATGTTTGTTTCAGAAAAGGTGAGATTTCCCATCCTCACTATCAGTCAATGATCAACGAGGATGACTTTGTTCGATCCATTCGAAGGATCTGTCCAGTACCTCCACCTGATTGTTATGAGGACAGCTCAGAGCATGATTTGAAGAGATTTTTCATCAATGATGACCGCATCATTTATTTGGATGACAAGTATCAGGTCGATCCAAGGGCCCTTGAAAGGGCAGAGCAAGCTCGAGCAGATTTGGAGGTGACAAAGAAACATTTTAGAGAAGAACTGGAAGCATATGGTCCCAAGGGACCCAGTTGGGACTATGTCGCTTTCTATGAAGAGCTGTGCAAAAAGTTCCTCAAAGGAAAAATAGAAGAACAATATGGAACTAACTTATTGGCCAGCTCAGAGTCCTTGACATTTTTATCCTGGAACTATGGCAACATGGTTCGTGGTCAGAAATACACCACACCAAGGTTTCTCCAAGGACTTGATCGTGCAATGAAGCCACGCAAACAGAGTGACATGTCACTCTTCACCTTTCATAATCTTCATACCACCAGTATGGATCTCACCAGTGATAGTGGAGACTCTTGTGTAAGGAGGAACTTCTTCACCTGCCTCAAAAGCTTGTTGTGCGATATCCTTGGTGAGCAAGTCCTCTACAAGACTTTCTCCCATGGTTCTTGGAAGAGATTCTGGGGTCTCAAAATAATCTGTCCTCTCTGAACTGAAAAACTCCGTTGCCTTCTCATTGTCCTTTTTATCATTAAAAAGATGAGTAATCTTCACTGCTTCTCCCTGTAACACCTGATCACCTTCTCTATACTTGTTGACAATGGAGCGCCATACTGGCACATCGTCATCATCAAAATCAAGCTCCATATCATCTGCCATCAAGTTTGAGATGTTTTGAGCTGCCTGTTCTTCTTCTTCCTCACGTTCTCTGGCAAGCTCCTCATCCTTCTGGATCTTGAAGATACCCTTCAGGATGTTTTGTAGTACCTTTAAGTTCAGCTTCGATGATGGCTCAAACGTCCCTGAACTTACAGGCTCAACTACAACACGAGAGCAAGAAATTGCCTCCAAAAACTTGGAATTGTATTGGCGTTCAAACTCTTCCTTCTTGATCATCTCATACAAGGGATCAGAAACTGCAACACGCGCCTGAACATATTCACGAAGTTGATAGCATGCATGTTGCACAAATCTGCTGTTGGAGTTGTGAAGAAAACTCTCTAAGTGGTTCCTGTCAATCAAATACCACACAACTCTTGCAGAAAAACAGAATTTCTTGAAGTTCATAGCAAAATGTGTATGATACTTATCTGGATCCTCTTCTGCATATAAGGCGGCCTCTGAAGTCTTGTAAACAGGGAGATTTGTGAATGGATCCAAAATCATAAACTCTTCCCACAAGATCGAACGCTGAAGAACCCACCTGGGAAGCACCTTGATGAAAAAGTCACAAACAAGTTCAGACAAAAGGTGCATGACACGGCCAATCTCTTCCTCCTGCTTGAAGCGATAGTGCAATTTGGCAATAAGGGACTGTTGAATGCTTCCTCACTCCATCCACTGGAAAACTCCAGGTTCAAAACTGGGTGCATACGTCTTGGGGTCTTCCTCTGTTCCATAAATACTTGGACGTAGCAACTTGTACCTTCTACAAAAATATTCTCTCTGGTGTCTTGTCAACCTGTCCCAATCCCGCACCAGAATCACGTCTTCTCCAGTGCTCTGAAGTACACGTGTTCCTCGGCGATCATGGAGTGATACCATGCCAATGTCATATACCATCCATGGGTTGAGAATCAGGTTGTTGACATTCTGAATGAACCATGTCATCTCACGCTCAGCAACATGAGCAGAGTCATCTTCTTCATCTTGTTGAGGTTCTCCCTTGAACTGTTTCAAAAAGATATCATTACCTGTCACAAAAAGATCATCAACATGTAAACAACACATACCAATGGGTGACCTATTCTTAGAATTACTGCCATGCACAGGGTCCATAAAATGCTCAAGCAACTCTTCCACAACCTCAGGTGTAAGCTGAGGCGTTTGTGTCACAGTATACGTATGTTCTGCAGGAAGAAAAAGACTGACAAGCGTTTCAGCTTCTTCCTCTAACGTCACTGTATTCTTCTCGTTTCGGATATCCTTGTTTGTCTCGAGAAGCCACCAAACACCTTTACGCTTAACTATTGAAGTCCGAAAACAAAAACGATAACGCGAATACGTAGGTTCGGGAGTGCGAAGAGCTTTAGCGCGATACGCAACTTGAGCATGGCCATTTGCATATTGGTGCCAACCTGCCTTGTGCTCTACAGAGTCAAGGAAATTCTGGAGTTCCTGATCTATCACAGGAGTCCATTTTCCATCCTCTACCTTAAGCTGTTTACGCGTCACCGTCTTCTCCGACCTATTTCCGTAACACACCGAAAACAGACGTTCTTCACAGAGAAAAGACCTACGAACTTCCTCCGCTGTGTCGTGGAATTCGTTCGGCGGCGCACCTGCTACGTAGAAGGAGACCGGTTCCAGTTCGGCTGGCATCTCCTCTGACGAGTAGTTCACAGCCTTAGGAACCTTCAAACATCCGGAGTAGCAAACGTACGTGCACCGATCGGCTCGAGTCGGAACTAATCCGAGTGAGTGTAAAAACTTGTCGAGTCGATTCCACCAGCGACGAGGCGCGTCGCTCAATCCGTACACCGAACGGGTGCACAATCCGACGAGATACGGCGGCAATCCGATGTCGGTCGGAAGTTGAACGTGAATAACGCGTCGCTCGAGGTCGTAAAGTTCCCCCTAAGAAAGGCAGTTTTCAAGTCGATGTGTAACAGGTCCCAAAAAGAAGAGGCTGCATGCTGACATGCTATGCGAAAACCATACCTGGTCGCGGTTGGCGAGTCCGTCTGGAGGTCCCATTTCTGGGCATCTTGGAAGCCTCGACAGACCCATCTGGCCTTAAACTTCTTAAAATTACCATCTTTGTCAATCTTGATGGTCAGGACCCATCGACCGGTAACATAGTTATCGATCTTGTGCTTTCTTCGGTCACGATGCTTCATCGCAGTAAAATCTAAAAAGCTGCGAAACTCCTCTAGTTTAGCTTGCTTGATCTCTTTCGCATACTTCCGGAGCACTTCCGGAGTAATCACACTCTCTGCCTTCGGCGTCTTCTTAGCTGTTGTCTTCGCAAGATACTGGCAGAATTGTGAAAAGCCCTTCGGATCATACGAGTTAAAACTCGGAGGAGCTTGGTTCGGACCTACGACACAGAAATCCATATCGTCAAAACTAACAAAAAGATTTTTCTCATCGTCCAGATCCTTGTCTGGATCCTTCTCAAAACCCTTCACATCTTCTTCATCAAAAATAGGTTCTGAGTCTGTCTCATTCGAATCAGTCGTCTGATTGTCGTCATCTCCGATTGTGCTCGGAGGCACTGGAATGTCGGCCGCTTGTGGCTGATTCGAACTTGATGCTGTCGGATTCGCCGAATGTCCAGGAAAGAAACTTCTCGAAACAGACTTCGGAGGTGCCGGAATAGGTTCGTCATGTCCCGGTAACTGAACCTTAGAACGTTTAACCTGAAACTTCACCTTAGCTTTTGGCAAAGCATCAGTTGAGTCCACAGA